TGTCTGAGATGGTCTTCTAAGGTACGACTGTAGACCAGGATGTCATCCAGGTATACGAGAACGTATTCTTCAAGGATGTCCCTGAAGATGTCGTTCATCGCCGTCTGGAAGGTGACGGGTGCATTGGTGAGGCCGAATGGCATCACCGTGAACTCGTAGTGGCCGAAGCGCGATCCGAAGGCGGTTTTCGGCTGATCCTCTGTGGCAACGCAGATCTGGTGGTAACCGCTACAAAGATCGATCTTCGTGAAGAAGCGGTTGCCTGCCAGACGGTCAAACAGCTCATCCGTGCGGGGCATGGTATAGTTGTTCTTAACCGTGTAACGGTTAAGGCCGCGATAGTCGATGCAGAGGCGGAGAGTTCCGTCCGCTTTGCGAGCAAAGAGGACAGGTGCACCCCAAGGGGGTCAGAGAGTAGAGCGAGAAGACGACGCAGGACGTTGACGTGCCTCGTGAGTCGGTCCTGACGAGCCTGCAGAATGCTCAAGCCCAGGAGAGATGACACAACGTCATCGCCAACTAAGTGCTACAACGGGCTGTGCGAATGGCGCGACGCGTCGGAAGTCTCGGGGGAGAAGCGCTAGATGTGGCGGTCTGAGGGGAGGCAGACAGTACCTCGACAGACGGGGCAGAGAGAACTGCGTCTGTCGTATCGTGAGGGTCCTCTGGTGGGGTAGCCAAAGGGGCAAACCGCGACTCGGTGGTCCGGAAGCCGGCTACATGCGAGGCCTCAGGGGTACACTGCACCGTGGCTAGCTGGGTGGGGCTGGCCGGGCGGGGCCGGGGGGGGACTGAGATCGGCGCTGACGAGAAATGTCAGCATAGTACCGATCGAGGGCGGTGTGGTATGGACACCGTGAGGAGGTGTGTCCATCCTGGCGGCAACGAAGGCAGCCTCGTCGGGCCTCGAGGGCGGCACGCTCCTCGGGGGATAGAGCTCCGCGAGGAGGGACAAAACCCTGCGGAAGGTCTATCTGAGGAACTGTGGGTATGCGGGCGCCAGCCTGTGCAACCCGACTGCGTGCACGACCCATGGCAGACATGGCCATTTGCAGGCGCTCGGCCATTGGGACAGTGTCGTCATCTAAGTGGTACTGGATGACGTCCCGAAGCTCGATGTCCTCGGGGGCGTCCCCAATGGTAGGATCGAGCTCGGCTGAGGTGTCCTCTCCATACTCGAGAGAACTGTAGTGTCGAGCGAATGGCGCTCCAGGTCAAGCCGGGCGACGAAAACGACCGGCAAACGAGGAGCGGCCTCGGGTGGTACCTCGAGACTTGGAGGTGGCGGCTGGCCGCGAAGAGGATGGGGCGACGGAGAAGCGACTGCACATCCTCTGGTACTGATGCGCAGCCTCGTATGCCTGCTCCGCGAAAGAGAATGATCGCCTCCATAGCTCTAGGCGGTAGTCAATCGGCAGGCTGACAAGGAACCGGTCGGTGAGTGTGACCTCCGGTAGGAACGTCTCGTTACAAACAAGGCGAGCGTCCTGAAACACCCGGATGTGACGCTCCAGGTCGGCCGGTACAGAGGACCCGGACCATCTGGTCAGGGTGACGCGGTCTAAGGCGTCGGTGGCGTCATGACAAGCGCCGAAACGGTCTTGAAGGAAGGCCGCGAAGTCAGCCAAAGTGGGGACCTCACCTACGCGGAGGTGCTGGGTATAATGAACCTCCCACACAGTGGAAGGGCTACCTCGCAATTTGGTTGCGAGCACATCGCACCACAACTCCTGACGGGTGGTCGTCATAGAGAGCGTGCGCGTTGCTATCTGCAACCAGCGAGAGACACGGGATGTGCCATCATACTCGGGAATGTCCGTGGTGCGCACAAGAGGATGTCCACTGTGCTGATGGCGAGGGGAGAGAGATCGAGGCGAGTGCACTGCGGCAGAGTAAGTCGAGGCCGCTGCAAGGGCAGAGGTGGGGGAATGCTGTGGGCCGTGGCCGCTGGCGGATGGACCAGCAGACGAGGAGGCAACGGTCGCGAGCAGCTATCTCGGGATAGCCAGGTAGGAGGGAAGAGGCTGAGGAGCAGGTCGAGGGAAACGAGCCTGCATCATGGGGACCGAAGGGGTGGTAGAGGAAGAAGGGTGGGCAGCCTGTGATGGGTGAGGTTGTCTCAGAGCGAGAATCTTCGCCTGAGCCTGCGCAATGGTGGCCTGTAAAGTGGCCACTTGCTAGGTGCGCGGGGTCGGAGGTGGAGGGGGCGGAGCGGGTCGCCAGTAGGAGGAGGAATCCCAGTCTGGGCGGTACCCTGCTGTGGGGGTGGGGGGACAAAGGCAGGAAGAAGAGGGCGGAGCCGTATTGCCGCAACCGGTGTGGGAAGCTGGGAAGCAACACCGGGGTAGGTCGATGAAACTGCGAGGCCAGATGGCTGTACCTGGACCGCAGCACCTACGGCAGTAGTAGAGATGGTAGGGGCGGTCGTGGCCAGAAGAATTGCCGCAACAGGCGGGGTGGTCTGAGCGGCAGCAACACTCGCCACCGCTGAGGGGGAGTGTTGGGCCTGGCCCGCAGAGGAGGGGGAACCATGGTGACTCCGTCTCTGGAGTCTTGGGGAGCCGGAATCGGAGCCGGTAGGGGAAGGGGTGTGAGAGCTGTGGAGAGAGCGATGAGGGGAACCCTTGAGGCGGTTGACGTCGAGGGCGAGCGCATTGATTTGCGCTTGCAACGGTCCAAGCGTACTAAGTTGTACCTGGATTGCTATAAGGACGGCATGAAGGTCCATCGTGTCCGCATGGGCCTGATCATGAGCCGCTGACGGCGCGTTGACCTGGGGTGTGGACTGCGCCGCGACGATCTCCTCGGATGAACTCCCTTCCATGGCCGGAAGGGGAATGGAGGTAGTCCTTAGAGGAGTGTGTGGGGAAAGGGGCCCACCGGTAAGAGGAAGGGGACCGCGAGAGCGGAGTGAGTATGTGTGAGTCGGCTCGCCTCGGATTTTGCGGGTCGCGCGTGAGACGAAGGCGCCGAACCGCTCGAGGGGGGAGGAGCCGTCCAGGTCCAGGGTGCCCGACGCGAGGAGGCGGGAGAGTAGGAAGGGGGGCGGGAGTTAGGAGGACCCTAAGCCCTAGAAAACCCTAAGAAAACCCTAACCGGAGTTTAGGTGGTTAGGGGAGGGTAGCGGAGACCTAATCAAGAAAAAAGATAATATGGAGGGGAGGGGGAAAGAAAATAGAATAAACAATAAAATTTCAAGATAAAAATAAAATAAAAAAAGAAATAAAAATAAATAAATAAAAAAAATGTAAAGAGCGAGGGAAGAGGACTAATTTATTTTTTTGAAAATTTCGGCAGCATTTTCTTACCCCAACGGGGTCAAAATGTGCAAAGAGAAAGGAGAGACTAAGAGAAGCACACTAATTTTTACAATGCCGCAAATTAAAATTTTCAAAAAAATAAGTAAATAAATAAATAAATAAGTAAATAAATAAATAAATAAATAAGGAGGTGGAGGAGAGTGAAGAGAAACTAACCAAGTTTTGGATTTTTCACAAATTTCAGCAGCACT